GGACTTGTGACCTTGAAGTGGGAAGGGCAGTGCCTGCACTCTGAAAGATGGGTGGGGATGTTGCAGTTGGAGGGTAATCTAATTTGTGGTGTCATGAATTATGATGGTGTTTTCCTCTTTGGGTCACCTTTCTTTGGCAGAAGATGGCCTCTGAGGTTAAGAATATAATGCATATAACTTGGATTTTGATGCTGTGCACTTCTGGTAAGACAGTTATTGAAGGATGGTAAATGCATTTCCTTCTTTAGGTCACTCTACCTTGGTAGGAAATGGTCAGTGTCACAGGAAAAATTACTAAGATGGAGTGTGAGCAAGTTAACATGTATGAAGTTATGCAAGGAAACCAGTTAACCAGACTTGAGCTCTTGAGGTGGAAAGTACTGTTCCTACATTTTGAAGGCTGGGAGGGGATGTTACGGTTTAGAGAGTCATTTGCAGTGTGATGCCTGGCAAGACACGCTGTTAAATGAGTGATGGTGAATGTGATTCCTTTTTTGGATAGGCATTGGCCAATGTGTTAACCTTCTAACAACAGGGTTTTAGTAATATCTAGCGAACTTTCATGTTTATAAATAGCGAAAGCTGTTTTAAATTGAGAAAGTGTTGTTCTTTAGGTACTGTACTAAGTTAATAGTGTACTACATATAGCTAATAACAATGTACAGTACAGTTTAAACTTTTTATTTAACAGACATAAGGGGATTCAGAGAAACCAATTAGCTGGACTTGAGTCCTGGAGATGAGAAGTACATTGCTGCACTCTAAAGGAGGGGGTTGGGATATTTGTTGTTGGGAAAGACATCTGAACTGTTGTATCTGCATGCCTCTGGCAAGACAGTGATAGTGTGAATGATGGTGAAAGTCTTTCTTTTTTGGGTCACCCTTACTTGGTGGGAGATAGTTATTGTGATAAATTTTAAAATACAGTAATAGTTATGAAAACACTCATGACATATATAGTGTAGTTTAGAAATAACCCTTCTATAGTGAGTAAACTTTAGATAACATTTCAGTTCATCCTGAACCATCATCAGATTGCATAAAAAGTTCATTACCAACAGCCAGACCACTTGAAGATTGGCCATGATTAGCAAGCAAACGATTGCTCCTGCTCTACTACTAATACTGTTCACTGACCCAGGTTACTTTGGTTGGTCTCTTATATGAATTATAGTTTATGTAGAAAATATATGATAATTTAAGTAGGAATGATGATAATTCAAGGTACTTTAACTACACGTGTAAGAGTTAGAGTAAAGGAGTACACAGGTGTCCCTCAACATTCGCGAGGGTTAGGGGATCAAGAGCCTCGCGAATGTTGAAAAACCGTGAATGTTTGGTGCCCCAGTATATTGTAGGGAAATATAATACAATACTGCTTAACTTGTTGAACCATGAACAATCATAAAATACATGAAAACGTCGTAAGTTGTACTAAATATATACATGTTATGCTTTAATAACATGTATGTTATTAAATACCACAGACTCCACCATTGCCTCCACCACTTCCTCAACCAATGCGAGTCCCTACTACCCTCCATCCGACCCCCGCAACTGGCAGCCAACCCTCCCACCACTCAGTGTGGTGAGTGTTTTGTTTGTTCATTATTTGCTATTAAACTACAGTATAAATAATGTAAACACATTCATGACTGCATATTGGAATGGCTATTTGAACAGGTATTGGGCGGTGACATTATGTGTTTACTCTTGAACACAGCAAAGAATCAAACATTTCTGCTACTGCTAATAATAACAATAATAATAATAATAATAATAATAATAATAATACGATATAATTGAAGAAGGAAATTGTCCCAAAAATACGAGGGAGTGGGTTGACACATCGTCAGTGTGGCTTTGTTTATGCTGGAGTGAACATTAGTCTCCCTGCTCTTCCAAACATTTCACAATAATTCAGCGGTTGAGGCAGTGGTAGAGGCAGTGATAAAGGCAGTGATAGAGACAGTGATATTATTATTATTATTACAGTGGACCCCCGGTTAACGATTTTAATCCGTGCAAGAGGGATAATTGTTATGCGAAATAATCGTTATGCGAATGAATTTTCCCATAAGAAATAATGGAAAATAAAATTAATCCGTGCAAGACGCCCAAAAGTATGAAAAAAATTTTTTTTTACCACATGAAATGTTAATTTTAATACACACAAACTAAAAAAGGCATGCACAATTACATGACACTTACTTTTATTGAAGATCTGGTGATGATTGATGGGATGGGGGGGAGGGGAGAGCATTATCTTTTTACTGTTTAGAAGGGGAATCCCCTTCCATTACGACTTGAGGTAGCAAGTCCTTTTGGGGGGTTTACTTCCCTTCTTCTTTTAATGCACTAGGACCAGCTTGAGAGTCACTGGACCTCTGTCGCACAACAAATCTGTCCAAAAGAGCTCTGTACCTCCCGTTCCCTTTTCGATTTGTCTAAAATGGGCCACAACATTGTCATTGAAATAGTCACAGCACGGCTTGCAACAGCTGTGTCAGGGTGATTTTCATCTATAAAGGTTTGCAGTTCAACCCCCTGTGCACACATTTTCCCTTTAAACTTTGAAGTAGGCACAATGGATTCCACAACTGGGATAGGCTTCTCAGGGTTAGCCCCAAAACCCCTTTAAAATCTTTCTTAATTTCCATACTTTAAATTTTCACCCTTTTTACCACAGGGTTGGCACTAGAAGCTTTCTTGGGGCCCATGGTCACTTATTTTCCAGAAACAGCACCGGAAAACACTGTAATAATACGAAATATTCCGAGTGTATGCTTGGATGTTACCGCGGAGGCTGGCTGGTAAACAATGGGACGGGCGGCACATGTGAGGGCACATTGGACGCGTCTCGGACGAAAATCGGTGAGCGGGTTTTTAATCGGTATGCGCGGCAAAAATTTTGCGATAAAAAGTAAGCGGTATGCGGAAAAATCGCTATGTGATGCCATCGTTATGCGGGGGTCCACTGTATTATTATTATTATTATTACTATTGTTATTATTAGCAGTAGCAGAAATGTTTGATTCTTTGCTGTGTTCAAGAGTAAACACATGATGCCCACCGTCCAATACCTGTCCAAATAGCCATTCCAATATGCAGTCATGAATGTGTTTACATTATTTATACTGTAGTTTAATAGCAAATAATGAACAAACAAAACACTCACCACACTGAGTGGTGGGAGGGCTGGCTGCCAGTTGCGGGGGTCGGAGGGAGGGTAGTAGGGACTCGCAGGTGGCGGGAAACTTGAATATGATTTGGCGGCTGGGAATTTGGCGGTTGGGAATTCGCGAATGTGTGAAGCCCGCGAAAGCTGAAAACGTGAATGTTGAGGGAGACCTGTATTAAATTGAGGAGGGATTTGGGTAAGTACTGTATGTTGGTAATGGTTTGCAAACTGTCCACACTCAGGTTGGATATGTGACTTCTAGGTAGTGCTCCTTAAAAAGTTTTATATTTTTAGTGATAACTGTACAAGCTTTGAGAACACTTGCTAAACTATTTCTGTGTTTTGGGATCGATGGTTGCATCACATTCCTACATAGATTGAATTGTATAACATCTGTTGATCTGTTCAGCCTTCTATACACAGCCTTAAGGCTTGAAGTACATAGTGGAGATCTGTAGATAATGCCTGCACAAGAGTGTGCATGTAGAACTTGTATATTTATAGTTGTTGATACAAAAGTATGAATGTATAGCTTGTATATTTACACAAGAGCAAGAATGTAGAGTGTATGTTTAGTTGTTGCTCAAAATTATGAATGAATGGCTCATATATTTAGTTGTTTTAGGAATATGTATGTATGTATAAGGGTGGTGTGCATTTTGTCTGAAGCTGGTGTGAAAAATTTACTGGGAGTTGACTTCCATGCACAAATCCCATATGTAAGGTATGAATAACTTCCATAATCTTATAGGCATGTTTATTGTAATACTGTACTAGTCAGACAAAGACTACAGTATACTATTCTGAAATTAATTTCAGCATGATTGTACTACAGGAGGGCCCCACTTATACAGCAGGTTAAGTTCTGGGCTACTGCTGTAAAGTGAAATGTAGCCTTTTTTTTTTTTTCAGATGCAGATAAAAGTCTGATAACATGTTTACACTATCATATATTAAGTGAGCAATAGAATTAGGTCTAGAAAATGCTTATACAGTACACACATTACTTACCTTAAAATATTTTTGTCTTTTTCTTATAGCGAGCGGTGAATACAGTATATCTATTGTAGGAAGTCTGAGTAAATGAAGAATAAGTTTAATTGAAAACTAATGCATTTGCAAAATGCTGTGAAGCAAAGTGCTGTAAAGCAGGGCTCACCTGTGTAATCATTAACCATTAATCATTGTTCATTCATGTTACAAGAAAGTCTTCAAGTCAAGTTTAAAACCAAATATGTAACGTAATTCTGTCGAGAAAAATGTATATCTCACAATTTTGTCTCATGATTTTCCATTTTTCTGTTCACAAATTGTTTCTTAATAATACACAGAAAGACACTATATGTAGTTTGGAAAGTACAATGGCTTCTAGTATGAAGTATAGTCTTGAATGTTGCAGTGGAACTGTATAATATGAGTGTGGTGTGAATGTAGAAAAATAAATGAAGAATTTAAAAGGTAGTTCAGCTATCTGCATCTTCCTCTCGTCTAGCCAGTGTTCATATGGTAACACCTGATCACAGCTCTTACTGCATCCATCAGCTGATCACAGGCTGGTATGAGTCCTCCTATGTCTATTTGCAGGGTCCAAATCAGCATTAGGTGTTAAAATGTGCACTAAGACAAACTATAATGAAGATGATAGTTAAGCTTAATTACTTTCGGTAATGCTGATTTGAACTATGTTGACTGTAAATTGGAAATCTTTTTATTAACAATTCATAATTATGTACTTCATTTCAGTATACTATAGTGTTTTTACCATGCATATGATTATGAGTAAGTGGCTAGATAAATGTTTAATAAGCATATATAACAGTGTGGTAGAGTGCCAATACTACAAAGATGTCATGCAGTTGGTCTGCTAGCAACTGCTGCAACAGTCGTCGAGCCATCCGGTTCTTTAGTAAGTACAGTACAGTACAGTACTCTCTATACAGTGGATTTAAACCTATTAATTTATTAATGTCCTTATTCTGTATTTAATTATTTTAAAACTCATACAGTAGGCAGTAATTAAAATTGTTTAACCCTTCTTATATATGTATTGATGTTTAAGTATAGTTCATAATTTGCTACAATATTATAAACACTTTGTATTAATGCGTCTTGAATTAAGTAGAAAATACTCTATTCCCATTAAATTTCTAATACTTCTCATGTGAGTTGATGCAGAAGAACCTGGAGAACTCTCAGAGAATTTGTAGAAACGAGATATGCGAATTTTAGAGGTTCTAGATATTGTAGCTTAAATATCACTCCCATCTAATATTATTATTGCTTTGTATAGTACAGTACATTGCAGCAGTACAATATCAATATTTAATAAGTCTGCTGTACTTATTTAACAATGAGGAGGCATTCCAAAAACACACAAGCCAAGTAAGCTTCTTTAAAGTGAATTATATTATGCTGTAGAATTCCATTATATTAGTTAATATAAATTCCAGAAGGAAAATGTTGAACTAAAACATAAATACAATAAAAAAGGTTATATAGAAGCAGTTGAATGGGATAAAGTATGTGCAATATATTATATGTAGTGTATATGCAGTACTGTACAGTGGACCCCCGCATAGCGATATTAATCCGTGCAAGAGAGCTCATTGTTATGCGAAATTATCGTTATGCGAATGAATTTTCCCCATAAGAAATAATGGAAATCAAATTAATCCGTGCAAGACACCCAAAAGTATGAAAAAAAAATTTTACCAAATGAAATATACATTTTCCTACACACAAAGAGAAGGATACATGCACAATAGTAGAGTAGTACATGCACAATATATACTGTGCATGTACTACTCTACTAAATGAAGAATAAATGACACTTACCTTTATTGAAGATGCAGCAATGACTGATGAGACACTGTGTCCTGGGAGTGCCTTTTCCTCCTGAGTACTGTAGGTCCTGTTTGGCATTTTCTTCCAGAACAGGCCTTATCACACTGTGTATGCCACTACAATTCTTAAATCTCTCAAACCAACCTTTGCTGGCTTTAAATTCACCAATATGAGCACTAGTTCCAGGCATTTTTCCCTGTTCACCTGGGTGTTAGTCGACTGGTGTGGGTTGCATCCTGGGAGGCAAGATTAAGGACCCCAATGGAAATAAGTTAGACAGTCTTCGATGACACTGACTTTTTTGGGTTATCCTGGGTGGCAAATCCTCTGGGGTTAATTGTTTCTTGGTATTCTCAATAAGCCACACCAACAACGGTGCTACAGCAGCAGCTGACAGTGCTACAGCAGCAGCAGACGATGCTACAGCAGCAGCATACGGTACTACAGGCAGCAGCAGCAGCTGATGGTGGTACAGCAGCAGCAGCAGCTGACAGTGCTACAGCAGCAGCAGACGATGCTACAGCAGCAGCAGACGATGCTACAGCAGCAGCAGACGGTACTACAGCAGCAGCAGACGGTACTACAACAGCAGCAGCAGCAGCTGACGGTGGTACAACAGCAGCAGCAGCTGACAGTGCTACAGCAGCAGCAGACGGTACTACAGCAGCAGCAGCAGCTGACGGTGGTACAGCAGCAGCAGCAGCTGTATCACCAATAGTAGCGATGGTTGATTGGGGTTTATTATACAACCTGGCCAGCTCGGAGACACGCACTCCACTTTCATGCTTATCAATGATCTTTTTCTTCATCTCTATAGTAATTCTCACCCTTATTGCTGTAGGGTTGGCACTAGAAGCTTTCTTGGGGCCCATGGTCACTTATTTTGCAGATAAAATCACCAAAAACACTGTAATAATACGAAATGTTCCGATTGTATGCTTGGATGTTACCGCGGAGGCTGGCTGGTAAACAATGCCACCGGCGGAACATGTGAGGCTGGCTAAGGGCGCACATTAGATGCATCTCGGACGAACAGCGTTGAGTGGGTTTTTTAGCGGTATGCGAGGCAAAATCTTGGCGATAAAATGTAGCGGTATGCGGATTTAACGTTATGCAAGGCCAACGGTATGCGGGGGTCCACTGTATTATATTAATAAAAAACATGTATATGTTAGTAAAAAATAGTGTTAATGTGCCTCCTCGTAGCCTTTGCACTATTGCATTCCTTCACACTCAGTGATTTTATGTATGAAGTGAAATACTAACTGCTGCTGTGTTATGTCTGGCAGAATAAAGCAACAGTACACTTGTAACCACTTAGTGGGCTGCCAACTGTGTCTAAACAGACATTTGGGAACATGTTTTACCAGAGAATGACTATACTAGTACCAGAGTTGCACCCCTACCATCACTCTGCAACAAAACATGACTTTGGAAATTTATTGTACAATCATTTAATTCATTTGACAAATTTGATCATTGCAACATTATTTAGTTTTAGTCTTTATGTTTACATATGTTTGTGCTGAACACCTTTCATCTGTTTGAACATTATTACCCTTTTAAACTATCTTGAGTCATATTATACAATCAAAATATCTGCTGGATAGGATATTGCAACCTCTAGTATTAAGAGATGTGAATTTTCTTTAATATTAAGCAGAGAATGTATAGGTAGTAATACAGTGTTCACAGAGGAGAGAGTTTAAAAAAATATTGAAGAATATAACCTTAAATACCTCAGTTGTGCATGTTACAGTGGCCCAGAGAGACAATAAAATAAAATAAAATATTTATTTCTTTGCTAAGATTACAATGTGTATTTACATATCATAGTATGATTGGAGCAAAGAAAGCCACTATCATGCCGAGGTATTTCGGGCAGACTTAACCTAATACATATTTATAGACACTTAGGTCTAGACAGGTGGAGAGTGGTAGAATACAAACAGTCAATATTCACTCTATTGTTCATATGAGGTAGTATTATTTATGACAATCTTACATTTTTAAGTATGTATTAAGTTCTTTTACATTGGTAGAATACAAATGTTCTATATTTAACTCTTATTATTAATATGAGGTAGTACAATTTATGATACAATCAATCATACATTTTTAAGTTTGTAATTAAGTTCATTTACTCTATTATTAATATGAGGTAGCACAATTAGTGATAAAAACAGACATTTATAAGTTTGTAAAAATGGCTTAATAGTTAAGGGATAATAAAGTATTTGGGGAAGTTGCTTTGAATTTGATTAGGGTTTAGCATGGTGTGGGTAGGTTTGTTCTTGAGAGATGAGATGATCTTTTGAGTATGGTCCAAAACTGATTTGTGGGCAGGGGACCTCTTTCTGTTTCAGGCAAAGATCTTAGGGCCCTTTATGTGCATTGCATTTTTGCAGTGTGAGACGGACATGAGGGATATCAAAAAGTGTTTTGTGCCTTGTGTTATACCCATGTGTTCTGTTGAAGCTGTCTGGAAGTTTGAGTGGAGGGTTGATATTGGAGTTTAATGTTCTGTATATTTAGTAGGCACAATAATAGGTGTGTATTACATATATATATTACATAAGTTCATGTTTTTGAAGAGAGGTGGGGTGTGTTGTCTGGCACTGGAGTTTGTGATCATCCTCACTGCCACTTTTTCTTGGGTTATTAATGGTTTGAGGTGATTGACCATGGTAGAACCCGAAGCACAAATATCATAGGTGAGGTAGGGGTATATTAGAGAGAGATATAAGGTAAGGAGGGCCCATTGGGGTACATAGTATCATATCTTGGAAAGGATACCTACTGTTTTGGAAACTTTCTTAGTTATATGCTGAATGTGGGTCTGAAATTTAAGATTACTCTTAAGGTGAAGACCTAGAAATTTGCCCTCAGTGCGTCTAATAATGGGTGAACTATTTATCGATATGTTTAGCTGGATATTTGATGCTCTGTTTCCAAAAAGCATGAAGTAGGTTTTGTCTATATTGAGGGTTAGTTTGTTGGTAGTCATCCAGTTTGATATTTTAAGTAGCTCGCTGTTTAGTGTTATTAAGTATAGTCGGGTTTGGGTGGGAGAAGACGTAAGTGGTGTCATCGCGAATAGAACTGGTTTAAGGAGTCGCGAAGCATTTTGGGAGGTCATTGATGTAAATAAGAAAGAGTAGAGGACCTAGGACACTTCTCTGTGGCACTCCCACAACTACAGGCTGAGTATTGGAGGTCATACCATTTGTGTACACATACTGGCATCTACCACTAGTTGAGGTAGTTGAGCGAGTGTCCTCTGACCCTGTAAAACACTAGTTTTAGGTGCAAGATATTGTGGTTGACTGTATCAAATGCTTTCCATAGGTCTATGAAGAGTCCCAGAGGATATTTATTTTTGTCAATTGCTGTATGTAGTAATTTGAGCATCTGAATAATTGCATCATTCATGCTTTTTTTTGGGCCTAAACCCAAACTGGCAGGGGTTCAGTATGTTACAGTATAGGAAGTAGGAGTAGATTTGTTTATGTATTATTTTTTCAAAGATTTTTGAGAGAAAAGGCAAGTTAGATACTGGTCTGTAGTTATTTAGTTCTGTAGGATTGCCTCCTTTGTGGATTGGAGTGACCCTTGCTGTCTTGAGTATGGATGGGAATGTAGAACATTCAACAGATTTGTTAAATAGTGTTGCAATAATGGGGGACAGCACATGAGCTGCTTTTTTATACATGAATGTTGGTTGTTTTTATACATGAATGTTGGTAAGTCGTTTAGGTCTCCTGCCTTGTTTTTTAATGATTTAATAATTAGTGAGACTTCAGTAGGATTTGTTGGTGCTATATATAGAATATTTAGGTAATTACCAGTGAGGTAGTCTTGTGGCTGAGTATTTGCATTTGGGATTTTGCTTGCTAGTTTTGATCCTATAGTAGAAAAGAAAATATTAAGTTCGTTGATGGTGTCTTTAGGCTGTATGTGTGGTTCAACTGGTTTTTGCTAAGTTAATTTCTCTTCTTCTAGACAGTTTTCTAGAGCCCAAAATTTCAGAGAGAGTTTTCCAGGTCTTTTTTATATTACCTT